TTATTTGACCTGATTTGCTGCAAGTTGCAGATCCTGGACTGAATAAGAACACCCCTTAAAATGAGCATTGATCCAAAATGCCACTCTCACCATAATCAACTCACCGAAGTCAGCAAGGCAAAAAGGGTATCCACTGCGTCCCTCGTTGGTCGCCATGTGATGATGTAAATAGTCCAATCTTTAACAAATTTTTCTTTTTTTGTTATTTTTTCTGGGTGTCCAATTGTACCATGATGAATTTGTTATACCTAACAAACAAATAAAGTGATTCTAACTTCCAGAAATTTATAAAATGGGACCTATTTAAGCTTCCAAACGATTTGTAAAATGGGACTTTACAGATTAACAAAGAAGTCATGGGAACAAGTTAATGCCATGGGATTTTCACTAATTTTCCCTTAAAAAATGAAGTATTTTGTGGACGATTGAAAAAGCATATTATTTTTTGGGTTTCAATTTGTATGGAATTTATATTGTTGCTCAAGATTGGGGTGATGAAACTATTTATGATATTTAACTGTACCACATTAATCTTGGTTGTTACATTTACAATCCATCAAAAATTACACACATGTACCAAATGTTAGTGGGGAAACTGTTTTAAAAACTGGAGTACGAGTCCATGCATTGCTACATATATAGTACAATATAATTTTTTTTGCATAATCAGTTCATGTCCAACTAAAATTGTGCCATTAGTGTATACTATCATGTACACATTTCAAATGGCAAGAGTGTAAGAGGACAAGTCCTTGGCAGAGTAACAAAATAACTAATAAATTTTCTAAATTTTACGTTTAAGAAAACACATAAAATGAACAATACAAAAAAAAATTAAATAAAAAATATATTGTTAATACAGAGAAAGTGATAATTCATTTCATCTCCCCACTTAGAAGGGGCGCAAAGGTAGTTCTTTGCAAATTTTTAAAAATACCAAGAACAATGACAGTATTTGCTACAAAAAAGCAATAAAGGACCTGGATTTCCTTGTTAGTAAGCAACACCTAATGTATCCTTCAACGACTTAGAAAAAAAGAACGTCTAAGAAATCTAACGAATTATATTTGTCAATCATATTCCGTGCATAAATATCATACTAAGTTTTGGAATCAATGTATCAACTGTGTAGTCGAATCCATAAATTTCAGCAAGCTATACATACATCATTGGCATTGAAAAAAAAAAATTAATTGGACATATCTATCAAAAATATCGAAGCATCATACTAAATAATATTGTTGACATAAACCATCCATGAATTCTAACATTGTTTCAATTTTCTTTTAATAATAAATGGGACAAAAAGTAACACTATTCGCAAAAGTATGGGCTGAACAAAGTACCACCACTGTTTGCACAAAAAAGTAACACTGTTTGCAAAAAAAAAGGTAACAGTGTCAGCTAAATCATTGGCATTGCAAACTTTGTTCAACCATCATTGTCTGTGTCCATTTGTTGGCTGTCATCATGGTTAGAGCCATTAGATTCCTGCTCACTATCATTAGAACTAGTTGAATTCTCAAAATCTTCACCACAAAAGGCTTTCCGCATTTGTTTTAGTTCTAACTTGACCTTCCTCATGTCTTTCTTGTGTTGCAACTCCACCCGGTTCAATATGGACACAGCCTCATACAAACGAGTTGATATACTCTCGAATGAAGTAGGATCTTGTCCTTCACGATGCTTTCGACTTTGCCCTTGTGTTTTCCCATACTTTCCACGACCTATGTGGCTCATTTGCCCCTTTCATTCATCATCTGGTCGAGTCAGTACACGAAGCTCAAGTAGCATATCAGTCATGAGGAGGCCGAATGGTAATGCTGCATGTGGATTGTTTGCTTTTGCGACAGAATCCACAACTTGCCAAATTACCTTCGGAATTATGGATAGCATACAACATGAGTGCTCATTCATGGTCAAAAGTGGATTTCACCCCCCTTGGGTCAAGATTGTACCACAATATAAGATGAAGAACAGCAAGGTCAGGCTTCAGGAACTTTACATGATACTTGTCATGTGGTATGACTCCTTCGATGTACAAATCATCAACAATTTGGGCTTCATTAGGAAGGTCGACACCAGGAAGGTATGGTTATTGTGTTTTGTTATCATGTGTTGATCGCTGAATGTCTAAGAATTTTGATATGCAATCCGCAGAAAACACCACATCTTTCCCCTTCAGTTTTGTTTTCAGAATCAAGTTCTCTGTATCAGTTGGCTTTTGTATGCTACCAAAGAATTCCCGTACCAGGTTGACATTGGGGATGTTTGTTTTAGCTTTTCAGAGCTAACTTATGGCTTTTAGCTTTGAAAAAGTTATTTTGGACTGTTTGGTTAAACTTATTTCAAACAGCTTCTGATTCTAACAGCTTATTTTAACTCAAAAAAGCTGATTCTGAGAAGCTGCTCACCCCTTGCTTCTGATTATCAGTTTCTGCTGTGGACATGTTAATTTATAGTTATACTCTTAAATTTTTTTATTTTTTATTTTTTTAAAAATAGAAAAAGACCCAAATGGACTATAGATTGTTATTATTATTTTTTATGAGAAATGTAGACAAACAAAAAATAAAAATTAATTGAAAAAGCTATTTCACAGCTTATTTAACAAACACTACTCAGCAACTTAAATCTATAATCCAACAGCTACACCAAACAGATTAACAACTTCTGATTAAAGTCATAATCTATAATCTGTTAAGCTATAATCTATAAGCTGTTTTAACAGCTACACCAAACGGGGCCATTAGCCTTCCCTTCTCGTTCGATCAGGTTTTGTATATGCAGGTGGCCCACAATTGCTGGAATATCAATATCAGTTAACTCCTTCAACTTGACAGCCCGCTCTACTGTAATAGCCCGTTTAGCAAAAATACCAAGGTCAACGTGAGGAGCAACCGCTTGTCCTTTACTCTTTTTTTTTGTTGTCTTTTTCCGTGGCATCTTCAATTACCTACGTAATATCCAAACAAATTAAAACATATGTATGTCATTGGAGAGATTCAAATTTTGATCATACAATGACAAATGCAAATATATTAAAACCTTATTGATTTCAGTCATCAATGTCCACCATTTCTTACCAAGCAAACAGACAATTAAAAAAATCTACAAAAGAAAAAGAGAGAGACAGTTCGGCATTATTAACAGTGATTGTTTGTAAAGTAATGGCATGAGCAAGTCCCTATTTTATCAGCAATCAAACAAATTTGGAATTTATTCACCTTTATTTTTCAAATTAATCTCCAAACTACGAAATTTATTAAGTCAAAAATATTAAAAAATATTAAGTCAAATATTTCAATGGAAGAAATAGACTCAAGTCAAAAATATTAAAAAATAGGCAATTTTTTTGAGCTTATATTTAAATTCAAAAAATGTTTTAGGAAAATTTTTCCAAAACACAATCCACTTTTTAAGAAACACCTAAAAGTTAATTGTCTTAGTTTTAAATGTGTCTAACACATGTCTGGACATGGGAATATCCAACATTTGTCATGATTCATTAGTCCGCTCAACACCTTTGATTTTTACCCATAATGAGAATTCTGCAACTTCCATAATCTGGGTGAAGGAAAGTAGTCTTGAAGGCAAATGCAAAAGCCCTCTGCCAAGTTATTTGTAGATTTTGGGTGCATATGGAGTTGGATCATTAGAGTCAAGTTACTGTACTCTCACTTGTTATAAGCAGTTGTAATTTTTACTCTCGACTGCTTGAAAATGAAGATTATTCCATGCTTGGGATCTCTTGTGTGAGCAGATAGCCAAATAGGTACTTTATCTTTAGCAGTTTTTAACTGCTAATTGCTTGATTGTAGCAAGGGGAGGCAAGGATAAATAATTATATAGTTCAAATACTTCGCTGTATTCATTATTGCATTTCAATTCATAATATGCAAGCTAATCTGACTACATCAACAAGCTCAAGTCCTAAATTTTCTTAGATGCTTTTAGTTTTAAGGAAGTAGATTTGCATAGTTGGTTTAATACCACGCTATTGTTTGAATGACAACTTGGGTTCATGTTACTAATTTTTTTGTTGGGTGATGAAGTCGTTTATATTTTGGCAATGCACATCTCCATCATCTCTTATTATCCCTATACATCGATACCACACCATTCCAATATCAGCACAGTTATGTGTCACCTAACAGCAATGCCTACCATTTCTTACCAAGTAAATAGACATTTAAAAAAATCTACAAAAGAAAAAGAGAGAGAGTTCGGTATTATTAACAGTGATTGTTTGTAAAGTAATGGTATGAGCAAGTCCCTATTTTATCAACAATCAAACAAATTTGGAATTTATTCACCTTTATTTTTCAAATTAATCTCCAAACTACGAAATTTATTAAGAATGCCTAAGATTAAAACAACTAAGGCATTAACAAAACGTAACTACTAGGCCTTAATGTCTCCTTGTAAAAACAATGTTTCGATCACTGTAAGCCTTACCATGAAAGTCAACTACATTGGATCATTTGGATAATTTGGCAGTTCATTGATATAATCCGTGTGGGGATCCAACTCTGTGTTCATGAATGGTTCACTGTCTGAGTTGCTACCCTCTCTCTGGCTAGTTAAAGCCAATTTTTTACACGTCCGCTTCGTGTGTCTGATGCTCCTACAGTAGCAAATAATGCATAAATAATTTTAATAATCATGTGCATGTAACAGGATATAAAAAGGTCATACAATGAAAGTACCATACCTACAATACCCACACCGCCTTGGTTTTGGAGGTTTACCCATAGAAGATGTCCCTCCGGGGTTCCCTTTGGTTTTCACTACAGTAGGATCACCAACGCCATATAGTTTGGGTGCAATATTTCTGTCCCAAGCCTCGGCGTTACCTTCTTTCTCATTGCCCAACGTTTTTTCATCTGCAATGTCAGCTGGAAAGCTATTTCCCTTGCCTCTTCAAAATCTTTGTCCGCGTGTGAGGCATAATATGACATTTCACTAAAACAGGAGCTGAGTATACCAAACTGAGCTATCTATGTTAGGGTGCTACAAATTTGGGTAAGACTTGGTTGTTGACACTTTGACCTACCACGTCTTGTCCATCTTTGCAAGACACAACTCGGTGGAATACACATTAATTGTTTAGATTTCATAACAGCAATCATGTGGCAGCAAAGGATGCCAAATGACTCAAACTTCAAGCAACAACATTTCATTTTTATATCAACTGGAAAATACTCAACTGTCCACGTGCATGTTGGTGCCTTGTACTCACCAAAACGATAGGTGCGATGATCCTCCAGCTGAACTCTTTCCATCACAAACAATTTAACCTCTTTCCTGATTTCATGTCGAAACAATGAGAAAATCTTCCGTGCAAAGAGTTCAGCTGCATATTTCTCCAAACTTCTCAATGGCATAGTCAAAATCGGGAAACTATTCTCTATTTTAGATTCTGTTTCTGCCTCATTAACACGCATTCTAGCAAGAGCCCTATCATATTGCGCTACAAATTCGTACAACCTAACCTTTTGGTTTAGGAATATATTGAAATATGCATTCATACCCTCGACACGTTGAGTGCTCCTCATTCCAGCAAACATGTGACCACGGAGATATGCCTCAGCCCAATTATCACGCTTGAGATGAATATCCAACACCCAGTTATTGTTCTTCAACTTGTACTGTTTCACCATAGCAGCCCAGGCATTGTCAAACTCATCAATTTTACATTTCTTTAACATCAACTGTGCAAAATCAGTTGTAAATTCTAGTATGTGGGCATTTGTTGAGGCATTTTTCTCCAAATGCCAAGAACATAAACGATGTCTGCAATTTGGAATAACTTTTTTGATTGCCTGACGCATTGCTCTATCACCATCTGTTACAACAGAGATAGGTCTTGTACCATCCATGGCCTCCATTAAAATTTCCAACACCCACGTGTATGTCTCCATTGTCTTATCAGGAAACAAAGCACATCCAAATATAGTTGTCAAAAAATGGTTACTCACGCCAACTAGAATTACAAATGGCTTCTTATATGCATTTGTACGATAAGTTATATCAAATACCAATACATCACCAAATGCAGCATAATCCATTCAAGACCTACAATCTGCCCAGAAAATCTTGTCCAACCGGTTGTCCTTATTGACGTTGTATTTGAAAAAAAATAATGGATCTGCATCTAATTTAGCTGATAAGTATCCTAACACACCCTTTGCATCCCCTTCTGCGAGTTGTACTTTACGCTCAGCTTGGAATTGATTGTGCAAATCTCTGTGAATGAAGCCCACCTTCTCATAACCCCCTGACTGGTGGACCATAAAATCCATGATCTGACTCGTTTTCATACCCACATTGTGCATAGCCTTTGCTTGAGCTTGGTCTGCACTTGTTACAAACCTATGGGACCAATGAAAAGGGACGCAGTGTGGTGCTACCAAGGGATGGTTGTGTTCCCCTACAAAATGGGTCACAACATATTTCCTAACTGTCTTGTCATAACGCACGCGAAATGTGGCACTACAAAAAAGTCTAGTTTCGGCCCAAGTATTTCTTTTCTCTTACACTTTCCCTTGAACAAACCCATTTCCTACTCTCTACAAATTTGTTGTCTCCACTAATTCTTTTTCTACTTCTCTGTATGCTAAAACCGATGACCTTAGCGTATGCATTGTAGAAAGTATAAGCATCATCCTCTGAATTGAATTTCATTTGCAACACATCTTTCTTAGTAAGCATTCGTAAACTATCATAGGTTTGGGAAGCTAACCCTTCTTTCACATCAACAACATCATCCTTGCCATCCGGAGCAAATTGATCATCAATTTCAGTATTGACCTTTTTATGCCTACTACTTTCAGGTTCATCCATCGTATATACACTCGTAAGTACCCTATTAGCAATTAAAATGAAACAAATCAACTAAAAAACACACCGGCCATTGCGCTGTTATAAATTAAATCTTCAGAACAAATAAATTAGCACACCTGCCAGTGCCTTGCATTCAATTAAAAAAAAAAATTCAAACATGTCTGCAAGCACCCTACTATCAACTAAAACCAAACAAAAAACCAAAAAAAGCACACCCACCAATACTGTGCTATCAATTATTACTTCTTTATAGAAAATGAACAAATAAGCACACCAGCCAGTGCTATGCTATCAATTATACGCCAATAATAAAAAAACACACCTGTCAGTACCCTACTATCAATTAAAATAAAATTAATTAATTAAAAACACACCTGCTAGTGCCCTGTTATAAATTAAAATCAAACAAATAAAAAAAATAGCCCCCCCGCCCGTGCCCTGCTATTCGTTAAAATCAAATAAATAAATAAGCACCCCAGCCAGTGCCCTGCTATCAATTCAAAGCAAATAAATTAAAAAACACAAAAGCAATTACCCTACTATTAATTAAAATCTACTTCTTCGTACGCTAAAACCGATGACCTTAGCGTATGCATTGTAGAAAGTATAAGCATCATCCTCTGAATTGAATTTCATTTGCAACACATCTTCCTTAGTAAGCATTCGTAAACTATCATAGGTTTGGAAAGCTAACCCTTCTTTCACATCAACAACATCATCCTTGCCATCCGGAGCAAATTGATCATCAATTTCAGTATTGACCTCTTTATGCCTACTACTTTTAGGTTCATCCATCGTATATACACTCGTAAGTACCCTATTAGCAATTAAAATGAAACAAATCAACTAAAAAACACACTGGCCATTGCGCTGTTATAAATTAAATCTTCAGAACAAATAAATTAGCACACCTACCAGTGCCTTACTATCAATTAAAAAAAAAAAAATTCGAACAACACGTCTGCAAGCACCTTACTATCAACTAAAACCAAACAAAAAACAAAAAAACCACCCTCGCCAATACTGTGCTATCAATTATTAATTCTTTAAAGAAAATGAGCAAATAAGCACACCAGCCAGTGCTCTGCTATCAATTATATGTCAATAATAAAAAAGCACATCTGTAAGTACCCTACTATCAATTAAAATAAAATAAATTAATTAAAAAGCATGCCTGCCAATGCCCTGTTATAAATTAAAATAAAAATAAATAAATAAAATAGCACACCCGCCAGTGCCCTGCTATTCATTAAAATCAAATAAATAAATAAGCACACCAGCCAGTGCCCTGCTATCGATTCAGAGCAAATAAATTAAAAAACACAAAAGCAATTACCCTACTATTAATTAAAATGAAACAAATAAATAAAATAGCACACTCGCCAGTGTTTTGCTATTCATTAAAATCAAACAAGTAAATAAGCACACCTGCCAGTGCCCTGCTATAAATTCAAATCAAATAAATTCAAAAATAAAAAAGCAAGTACCCTACCATCAATTAAAATGAAACAAATAAATAAAATAGCACACCCGCCAGTGCCCTGCAACCAATTCAAGCAAAGAAATTCAAAAACACAGAAGCAAGTACCCTAATATGAATTAAAATGAAACAAATAAATAAAATAGCAAACCCGCCAGTGTCTTGCTATTTATTAAAAGCAAATAAATAAAATAGCACACCCGCCAATGCCTTGCTATTAATTAAAAGCAAATAAATTAAAAAGCAGACCTGCTAATGCAACTGCCACGGAAGAAGGGATGGAGGAGGTATAGGTTTACTTCTACGTTAAGATGGAGAAATTGAGGACCTATGACAAACACAAACAGAACATCAAAATAAAGTTAGTAAAGAAGACAATACTTAAGGAAAGTAATGATTATGGCGGGAAAAGAAAAAATCTATGTACGAAAAATATTATTTTGCACATCTTTTCCATTTTCCTTTTCCAAATCCATAGTTAAATCCATGATCCAAACATAACATTAAGGACATATGATGGTTTCAGTGTCATAGAAAGCAAAGCACATCTACGTAATTTTCTTCTCCTTGTGTGCTAGTTTATTATTTTCCAAAGCAATTTAAAATAAAAATAAAAAAAATTGTGGAAGTGTTTTTTCCAAATGTTTTGAGCAAGCTTCAGTCCATATGTCAACGTTAATGTTACCTGAAATGTTGTTGCTATGACTATCTCATTGACTCTTACTCTTTCTTTCCTTGTAATTATTAGTGAATTAGACAACAATGTTATTGTTACCGACTTCAATTAGTCATGCCCTTCGATCCATTGAAATACAACCATTATCATCGACTTAGACCACTATAATAACATTGTTGCCGCTACTAGTGTCATGTTGTCATTATGTTCAAATGATGACGTTGGCTATAAATCACTGACACATTTATAACTGTAGCACATACCAATATTATTCATTGCCTATTATTTCATAGTCGGTCACTACCTTTTTACCGTCACTCCTTTTTGAAAATAATAAATTGCATTTTAGTTCTTAGATATATATTGTTTGTCATTGTACCCACCTTAGTCCCTATATTATGTCTTTTCTTATTTTTGGTCCAATTTGCTAACTTCTAAGAGTAACTTTAGAATTTAAAAAATTAACTTTCCTACTTTGACCACTAGAAAACTTTGTTTTCCCACTTCAAAATAGATAGGTCATTGCAAGCGGTAAATGGAAGTATTCTATGATGGAGGATTGCATGTTGAGGTGGTCTATAGCGGAGGTTTTCGTATAAATGAAGCTGAACTTGACCTATGCCGCATTTTCCGTCACAAAAGTATTAGTCGCCTAAAGTTTGATTTTGTTTTTAGCTACTAAAGTTTTCATCGCCAATTTTATTTCATTTCTTTTTTAGCTACTAGAGTCCACTTTTTTTTATGGCTACTTATTTAGTAGCCAAAAAGTTTTATTTTTTCATTTTATTTTTATTTTTAGCTACTAACTATTTAGTCGCTAAAAATATTTACTTCCTTTTTAGCTACCAATTGTTTCGTCGCCAAAAGCAAGATTTTATTTATTTTTTTAATTATTTTGTCCACAACCTGCATGTATTCCGTGCAACCTGTACCATGTATATAAATAAACACAATACATATATTATCAACCATTCTGCAATTTGCATACATTTCACTTCCAACCATCCAAAAAAGGACCACAAGAAGAAAAAGCTCATAAAGGGAAGCTAAGAAAGCTAAAGACAGACAGCAAACAAAACAAAACAAACAACCAAAATAGAAGGAACATCCAAAATAGCTCCAACAACCAACAAATTGTACGAGACAAATCCAGCCAGGAAAAAAAATAAAACAATAAAACAGTTTCCAACAGAGCAGGCAGTCCACAACAGCAGCATCAACCAATAGTATCAGTTGCACCAGCTGCAGCAGCAACAAGAGCCCCAGCTAACATTCCAGCTATAGCAGTATTGTTTCCCAATAGAGTAAGTAGCCAAACAGTAGCAACAACAGCCAGCAACACTAGCAACACCAGCCACAACCAACAATACCAGTCAGTTGCTTACAACAGGTAAAACTAGAACCAACCATTGCCCAGCTTCAGCAAACCCAAGCAGCAAATGCACCAGCTCAAACATAGGATTACATCTGTTCAACCACCACATAACAGTGGTAGAAAAACAGTTAGTATAAACAGCCTCACAAACACTCACATATCAAGAGCCTAGCATATAGATCTCACAGCCACTCAACCCACAACATCCCTAAACAGTTAGGGGAAATGATGGGCATAGCTTTAGACAAAGGACCTTAAATCCAAGAAGACCTGCAGTGGAGACTGGACAATGCAAACACATTAACAGCCAAGTGAAAACAGGACTGCAAAACATTACTAATAGTATGCACAGGCTATACAGATGCATGAGACTTTAATACAAATAATGGTAGCTGCCACTCATTAATAAACCAATCATTAGCTTGATCTTCTTTGAACTGGGCAGAGAGGAGTCTACATCTCACAAAAGAGTAGGTTTATAACAAAAGAGTATACAAGAAAAGAGGTTATAATTTGCCCAAAGTCTCTACTTAAACTATTATGTCAATTGTGATCATGTTTAATTGTGAATTAATTCAATACCTACCAATTTCATTTTGAGGTCCTTATTTCCAGTGGTTACCAATAATGCAGTTGATTCAATTCCAAAAGCAAATCAAATTATGTGGATCAAAATATATTAAAAATCTAAAGAGGTTTTTCATTTTTTTTTATTTTTTATTTTTTTTTTTTGAAGGTTTGACAAAGAGAAAAGGGCTTGATGCAACTAAGCTATATTCTAAATACCCAAAATTAAGAACTTTAGAATATTTTTTTAAAAAAAAAATGATGTCATGAGAGAAGAAATTATGCCCAGATTTTTAGAAGTTGTAAAATTTCCTCAAGAGATGCAATAAAGCCTTACAACCCAAATCAAGGAGTTATCTTAAGAAGGGAGCCAAAAAAAAAAAAAAAAAAAAAAGTTTAGACAGCCTTTCTTAATGAACATTGTCCATGCCAACTATAGGGCGATTATCACTATCCTATGTTCTCATTTTCTTCAATTTTTTTTTTTATATACAAATTTTTTTGGGAGCAGATTTCATTCTCTTGTTGATGTCACTGTACACCAATATGTCAAACCCATTGTCAAAATTAGCTAGAGATTGACATGGCAACCTAGTTTTCTATTTGAAAGAATAAATTTGTCAGTTATTGGTTTCTCAAGCATAGAGTAATTCTACACATACCAACAATCTTATTAAAAATACAAGAGGTCAAATATGTGATTGGTTGTAAAACAAGCAAAGATATTTAAACATCCAATAATGTTTAGACATGTATGTTTTTAGTAAAGATTTAAGTAGATGTAGCATTGCTCCTAAAGCATAATGTTATGTAAGCTACAGTGAGGAATTAATTAAGAGGGGATTTTGGTATCTTAAGAATAAAAACATTAAAGCAAAATTCTTTTCGTATTCAATGATCGTGCACCTTACACCTGTAAGATAAAAGTTAGTTGCATAACCCAAACACAAAACTTACCCTCTATAGAAAAGAAGCCCTAAATATTGTTTTTATTAAATCAAACATAATCTCAAATCTTTTAAACCAATCAGTTAACATGGATAATAACTATTCAGTTACTAAGCCAAATGGACAAAAGAGACTTGTGCATCTTAAAAGAACTAGATAAAAAAACAGAAAAGAAAGAAGGATACATATTCTTAAGGTTACCTTCCCCTTTGGGATATATGGGTGATAATAACATTGAGGAAAAAATCATTTAGTAATTTCAATCCTTACAGTTAGACAACAAATTATTCCTATATAGAGTCGTAAGTTGATGACAAGAAGCCCATAGATTATTTCCTTGGACATCACCTTTGCCTTTTCTTTTTTCCTTTCAAATATATATATATATATATATAAATATTAAAATGCACCTTACACAGATTTTATTTGTGGGCTCGCCCCATGATTACGGATGATGTTGAGGTCCTGCACTGCGTGGAAAAACAAAAAATAGACACACATTACTTTTGCACCATGAAAAACTTGCACAAACATGTTCCTTAAAGAGAATGATAAAGGCCAAACATAGATCAATTGAGAGAAACCCACTACAAATATCTTCAACTTTTTCCCCATTAAACTTCCAGAATGTTTTTTTCTTTCTTCTATTTTATCTATATTGTATCTTGGGAAAGAAAATGCAATAGATCATCCTATTCTTTCTATTCACAATCAATAACCCATATGACTTTACCATTTTTGTCTACCTTATTAACATAATTTAAATCAATAACAACCAGTCAATCAATCTCAACCAAGTAATCTACATTCTATTATACTACATCCAAATTCAATTCCAATTATGAAAAAACAAAGAATTGATATGAACATGTGTATATGCAATTATGCATACAAATATGTATATACATATGTTATATATATATATATAGAGAGAGAGAGAGAGAGAGAGAGAGAAATCACCATCCAAGCAGAAGATTGTTGATGTCCCGATCCCGCAGATCTAGACCCGCTGACCCAGCAAGGCCAGCACCCAACAAACTCATCTTCATCATCTGCAATTTTGAGGGCTAAGGTCATGAGTGGTTGCAAAAGGGTAGGTGAGATAGCAAAAGGGTATAGCAGAACAGAGAGAAGGGAGAAAGAGAGGTAGTTGGGATCTCAAAGTTTATCAAACAAATCAGGCAACCTGCCCCTGCCCTTCCAATGGATATGGGATCACAAGCACAAGATTGGGAATCTCAACAGCGAATTGCAGAACGAGGAGCATCTTAGGCAACCTACTCCTGAATAGGTGGAGTAGATCGTGTCAATGTTGGATTCACATCTGCTAATCCAAACACAAATTTATATTATACACAATCACAATCATTCACAATTATTTATCCTAATTCATGCCACATTTGACAACACTAAATGGTGGAACAAGGAAGTGGATGATCCCATAAAAAAATGTTCATATGATTATGATATTGCTAGGTATGGGCGCTTTCTATTGCCTGCCGTGCTAGCCATATCAGCAAAAGATGCATTACCTCCATGTTCGCTGTTAATACCTATTGTTGTGTTTTGAGACAATGTCACAATCAATTTAAAAGGCTGTCAAGGCTTATGGATTAAGACTTACTCACTTCGAAGATCGAGGAAAGCAACTTACAACAAAACCTTGAGGCTTAAAAAACCAGAGGCTCGAGCCCAAGAAGCAAGGCTCTCATAAAAGACAAGCATCACACTTAGAACGATCTTATGGCTGCAATGCATGCTTCTCAACCTAGCCCAATGCAAGCAACCTATACCGATCATCACAAACAAACTTTTTACCTATCAGTCTTGCTAGTTTATTTCAACACATTAAGATACACAAGTTCTACAAATCACACCACTAGTTAGAGATATCACTATTTTTTACTTCTTTGCACGGTTAGTTACAAATTCAAATCATAACAACATAGTAGCTAAAATAAATTTCTATGAACTTTGCACAAATAATTTGCTACTCAAACATAGAATCCCAAAAATAGGTGTAAGACATTGGTGTCCTCATATAGTTTTAAAAATCTCATCATTTCATAACTTTTAATCTATTGTTAATACCTTGTAGATTTTCTAATTTAAGCCTTAGTCCTATCAAATTTTGGCATTTCATCGTCTCCAAGGCAACTCATAAACCATTTTAGAGCATCTCCAACCTTTCACCAATTTTTTCAACTAATTTGATTTCAAGTTTGAGTAAAAAACTTAATTTTATATGAACTACTCAAATCCTTTCATTAAAATCTTTTTAAAAATCTTCCTCTTATCCAAAATTTCCATTTTCATCAAATTTGATTAAGAAAACCCATCTCCGATGCTTCATTTTTTTTATTTTTTTTTATTTTCATCAAATTCATATTTATTTGATGGGTTCTCAATTTGATGAACAAAATAACTCTCCCTTAATGAGATTTGATGAAAGAATTGGAGATAATTTTTTAACACTTTCGAAGAAAAAAAAAAACAAAAATAACTAAATGGGTATTCAACTAAGTGGCAGTAACATCAAAATATCCACTCGTTTCTCACTTTCCACAATTCCCATAAAATTGCTAAAGGTAATACATCCCAACCCACTTTAATTTTCTTTCTCATAGGAAAATTAAGTCACCACAAGAGTAATTGTTAGAAACATAAACAGATTTCAACAAACAAATAAAAAATTACAGTCTCCTATTGGTTACATGAGTACAAAATTTAATTACCCACACATCAGATTTCAAATTTCTAGCATATATATTTATGGAATCAAAATAACTACCAAAGCAAACAAAGATTAAAAAAAAAAAAAAAACCTAAACCTCTTCAAATCATATTTTCCTAATTTTACAAACCAACCCAGTGAATTCACAAAGGTGAAAGGTGCAGTTTCAAAGAAGGCGATTTCGGTCTAGAGTTTCATAGAATGGAGATGGAGAAAGGGAGAGAAACAAGTTGCAGAGAGAGAGAGAGAGAGATACCTTGAGGCGAAGTCAAGGGCAAATTGTGTTCGCAGGATAGTCTTCGACAGCAAAGAAGAGCTTCAGAGTCGTGTCTGATGAATAGAAGCGTTTTGGGCCAACAACGTGAAGAGGGATTGTGGAACATGGAACAATTGGTAAAGAAAATTGTAACCGGTTGGTGAGGTATTCAATATTTTTAATCAAATTATTTGATGGTTGAGATTAATTTGTAAATATCTAATGGTTTAAAATAAATGTGTATATGATGTGCACTATTTAATGAGGTACACATCTTAACAGCTCCCTATATATATATATATATATATATTTAATGAAATAAAATAAAGAACCCACAAGCACCCATAAACTGTACCAAACAACCAATACAATAAGGCTTGTGTTGTTGAATTGCTGAGAACTGTGTTTTTGTGACATCAAACAAATCAATTTTAACCCAACCCAACCCAACCCATATTCGATTAATTTTTGTAACTAAACAATTGAGCCATAATTCTGATTAGTACTATTATTACTAGCTAGCTAATACTACAGAAAAACCAGAAACAAGCCCTAGCAAAATTTTCTCAAATGCATTTCTTGAGAATCAAAATGACATTCCCATCAGAAGTCAAATGCAGAATAAACCTGTGACATGGCTTAATACTCAAAATCATAAGCATATATAAGTTACATCAGAAGAACATAGTTTGATTGGTAAATTCTAAGCACTATAAGACTTGCAGAATCTATGACTGCTGCTTCTCACTGAATGTAATACACTAAGTGACACGAATAAGAAGTACAACCATGACGAATATACATGTCATTACAAATATCAGAAGCCATGTAAAACACGTAGTCTTGAAACTCTTCGAGTATATATCCATAGCACGTACATTGGCACGACCAGTGCTTGCCAAGCTCTGTTCAACCGCCTGCTCTGTTGAATCAAGTATCTGCACTCAAATTACAATTGCACTATGAGGTTCGTTGACCATGTATTAGAATACATCTAATATGCTAGTTATTAGACATCCTAGTTATAAGAAATCTCTATAATACAAGTATTGTCAACTGTCCAAGCTACTAGGATACATTGCACTGTATACCTCAAGACAACAATCAGAATCAAAGTAAATTAAAACTGTGACATTTTGGGAACTTACTTTTTTAGTGTTTTGTAGGGATTGACTCATCATGAGACTGCTCTCTTTAAGTTGCTGTGCCAACCCAACCATTTCATCTGTCAAATCATCTTGAAGTTTTCTGATAGAGGAAGGAATAAGAATTAGCAATAATGAAGTATCTGCGGTAATAATTACAAATGATATCTAGGTCAAGTAGAATGCAATCCTAAAAAAGAATGATGAAATTTCATTTCCCCTAAAAGGAATTAAATTGTGGATAGTCTACATAAAACAAGGATATGGTGAAGGCAGGTTAGGTTACCGACTGTTCAACTGCAATGGCGCAATACATATGTAATGTACATAAAATTATATACATCAATAAATAGAAATTACATACATCAATAAATAGAAAGAGACGTGTCTACATCAATCAAGAAACAAATAGGTATTTTCTTGCTCTCACTCTCTTATTATGCTCTAGTACTTCAACTTAGTTCAACAATGAGTTAAGATGTGGAAAATACCTGTGCTTGTCAATATGAGTCCGTGCTGCAGCATCCAATTTGACAGGCGCTGAATAATCAGTCACAACACTCTCACGAGGTCTATCTTCAATGTTTGATGGAGCGCTGTTTAATCAAAAAATGAAACAAAGTAAGACCAAACACATATCACCAAAAAAGCCATAGTATAGAAACCATAGCTCCTTACACAAATCTCCTCCTCAATCCTGGAGAAGTGGGAATAGAACTTTCTCTTACTGCTTTGGAAGGGCTTTCTTTGACAGAAATAACAGAAATAGGCTGCAGAGTTTCTGGCAAAACTGACTCTGACTGGAAGTTTTCCAAGAGAAAAGTTAGATGGAAATGAAAAATCCATATAAGATGCATGAATTTTTAATTCAAAATCAGAGAAATGGAACAGTTTCATAATGCTGGGGATCTGAACTAAAACCCATGTTCATTCAAGTGTACTTTACTAAAACTTAGAAAAACCTGAATATTATTTGTTTAACATGCAAAATTGCCAATACAGAACAAAGCTGAAGTATACACACACCACAGGGGCAGCCAATTTGGCAGCAAGGGCTTCAATCTTCTCTGAATAATCATTCACCTGAGCTTTTGAAACTCTATATAAACAGTCACAGAAAAAAAAAAGAAAAAAAAGAAAGAAAAAGAGATTCACAATGTTAATAAATTAAGTAACTTAGAACAATTCCTCCACATGAACATCACTAGCAGATCATGTATAGAAAAATATGAAATTATGCACATTATGAGTCTAATATCTATTTATCAAGAAAAATATATTTACACATCAACACTTCGTGAAGTTCAAAAAAAAATGACGACTTAGAATATTCAGGTACCAATATCAATTTTGTTATATCTATCAAGATATCTACAATCTTTGAAGACTAAGATATCCCTTTTTTACAAATATTTTACTCCTTGATCGGACCTGCCTACATTATTATTTTTTTGTCATTGCATTGATGTCTTTATATTGAATTTTTTTAGATTTCTTCTATGGCTTTAGTTTCTTGAAATGGTTCTAGCTTTCAGTTCTTCAAATGAATTACATGTCTGATGCTATAAAAGGCCAGCACAATAATCTGAAGGAGCTATATCTACCTAGAAAGGCCTCAAATGAAGAAATCAATACACAATCATTCCTCCTAAAATGGCTTTAGACGACCTTCACCTATTATCTCCAGTGCTTATAATGCATTATTTATAATTTCCCTTCAATCTTAGGCTCTATTTGGTTCATTGAAATGAAAGGGAATGGAATGGAAATGTGATTCATTAAATTTTCCTATGGAATGATAATTCCCTTAAAATGGTGTAACATGAATCCATTTATAATGCATTTATCATTATTATTTTAGTCTAACCAACTATGAGAATGAATATTTTGATGGAATGATCATTCTATTCTAGTCTAACCAACTATGAGAATGAATATTTTGATGGAATGATCATTCTATTCTAGTCTAACCAACTATGAGAATGAATATTTTGATGGAATGATCATTCTATTCTAGTCTAACCAACTATGAGAATGAATATTTTGATGGAATGATCATTCTATTCTAGTCTAACCAACTATGAGAATGAATATTTTGATGGAATGATCATTCTATTCTAGTCTAACCAACTATGAGAATGAATATTTTGATGGAATGATCATTCTATTCTAGTCTAACCAACTATGAGAATGAATATTTTGATGGAATGATCATTCTATTCTAGTCTAACCAACTATGAGAATGAATATTTTGATGGAATGATCATTCTATTCTAGTCTAACCAACTATGAGAATGAATATTTTGATGGAATGATCATTCTATTCTAGTCTAACCAACTATGAGAATGAATATTTTGATGGAATGATCATTCTATTCTAGTCTAACCAACTATGAGAATGAATATTTTGATGGAATGATCATTCTATTCTAGTCTAACCAACTATGAGAATGAATATTTTGATGGAATGATCATTCTATTCTAGTCTACCAATGCACAATGCCAATCAATTAAGGCATTTTAAGATGCTCTAAAACCATTTAAAAAATAATAATAACGGAAACATCCCCCAAGAAGGGAGAGTTGTAACTGAGTAAAAATCTATATATACATAAACATGCACGCACATATATAGAAGATAGAGCACACAAACCATTCCCAAATCAACAGTTTGAGTTGAAAGATCCGTAGACGTACATGTATAAGCTTTGCTTGATTTTGTTGATGAGATGCAGCAGCAAGCAACCTCCTCAAGTTTATTTCTATTTTACTGATCCCCATTTTCAAAATCCTAAAACATTGGATTAAAGCTCATATCACTATTGACAGAATCATAGAAAAATAATTTCCAAATAAAGAACAAACTAATATAAGAGGAAAAGATGAAAATTCTACATTAGCAACTCTAATAGTGTGCAAGGCATTTTTATTTTGCCTAACTACTGTAGCTAGTGTGTATTTATTTAGCTACACATTGAAACTATATATTTTTTTTTCTTTTTGACTAACTTACCCAAATTTCAAAAGAAAATTGTTGTACCCAAAATAAAAAAAATGCTACCTTTTCTCATGGCACCGCTTAGGCACCTAGTGCTGACATGGATGTTGACAATTTTTTTTGAAAAAAAAGGGGGGATAAAAATCAATCTAATCCCCTCACAGAAGAAGAGTCTAGGATTCTACTTTCAAGGCTAGATAAAATCTGGGAACAAGAAATTCTGAATTGGCATCAAGGATCAATTGGATAAAGTTAGGGGATAAAAATACTCAATCCTTTCATCTCACTAGTTTAGGATAAAATGGTGACAAATAGTGAAGCTTAAAGATTATGAGCAAATCGAAAGCTGAAAAAGTAATCATAACAAATTCCCAGAATACAACATTTAAAAAAAAATAAAAAATAAAAAGTCGCCAGTCCAATTCGATCTCGATCTCGGTGGGGAGGTGGGTTTGGGTGGATGGGATCTGAGCAGTTGCAGAGACAGAAGGAGAAGATCTGAGAGAGAGAGAGAGAGTTACGTACATGGTTGGAGAGAGAGTTGAGAGGTGTGTTATCATAAATTAAAAATAGTAATAATAATCAGTGAGAAAATTTAGATATAATTAGAAAAATGGGATAAAATGAAGAGAATACCTTTTGAATGAAAGCTTGGGATGTTGCAGAGAAGGTAAGGGATTGAGCAAGTCTGTCTCCCCAAAAAAACCCTGATGAACCGAGCCCAGAATTTCCACTATTTGGCAATTTCGCCTTTTTTATTAAAATAACTAAAAGATTTTAAAATCAAAACCAAAAATTTAAAAAGTCAATTCTCAAAAGATAATTTATTTATAATTTCAATAAATTTTATTTTTACTATCTAAAATATATCAGTTATATAATTTTTTTTAGATGGGATTTATAGGAGAATTTTTTTAAGGTCACTAATGTTAAGATTTTATAAGATAAAATACATGTAATATTTTCATAGTAGTTGGAATCCCTCAACATTTTTTCAAAGAAATTTCAAAATCAGAGAAGTTTCACTGTGTGTTTGTGCATTCATGTTTGGAATTTCTCTGGACACATGAGAATCCCTTTACAATTTCTCTGAGTATGTTTGTGGGTTCATGTTTATAATTTCTCTGGGCATTTTTACTGAAATTTTTCTAGACACTTCACAATCCCACAGTGTTTAAGAAAATTCACACAATGACCATAGCCAGAAAAAATTTATACAGTGATCATAGTTAGAGAAAATTTACAAGATTACAAACAGTGACCACAACCAAAGAAAATGCATACAATAATCACAGCTAGATAAAATTCACACAATTCCCACATCCAGGAAAATTTCATAAAGCCAAAGAAATCTCATACAACTAAAGAAAATTCATACAACCAAAGAAATATCATACAACTAGAGAAAATTCACGCAGTTCCTACATCCAAAGAAAATTCACACATTCCAAAGAAAATTCATACAGCCAGAGAAAATTCATATATCCAGAGAAAGTTCACACAATTCTCACATCCAGAGAAAATTCATACAACTAGAAAAAAAATTCACACAGTTCCCACATCTAGAGAAAATTCATACAGTCAGAGAAAATTCGCACATTTTCCATATCTAGAAAAAATTCACAGAGTCTAGAGAAGATTCAATCTGATTCTTAAGTTGCACTGCCGATGGAATCGGTGCAGTTTACCCCTGGCCACATCTTCATATCCCACATCGATGACGTCGTCGATTCCTTCAACAAACTCACTAGAGAAGTCACTGCCTTTGACCTCCTGGAACCACTACTTCATACAATCCGACACCATCATTGACAATGACATTGTGCGATGGTTCTTTCTATCACCGTTGCTTCTTCTACTGCCATTCTTTTTCATCTTATTCCAACCTCAATTTGCTGTTAATTCTAGTGAGTTTAGTGCTTTTGGGATCCAATTATTGTTGTAGGTTTAGCTGTTGTTGCTTTGGTTTGTATATATATATATATTTGTTCTTGGTGGGTTTGGAAGATAATTTAATGAATATCTTATTTCATGATCCAAATTTTGAGAATTTATTCAATGGAGAGAGATGAATTTTCCGATCAAGTTCTAAAAGAGCGAAAGGTTTGGTGCGAGAAGAGAGATGAGAGAAAATGAGAAAGTGAGTGTTATATATGGGTATGGGTGATGGACCTTAGGTTACAAAAAAAAAATTATTGTAGACTTTTCCATTACTAAAAGTTGGGGAGGAATGTTAGATCAATTTTCCCGAAATTATATAATTGTTATTAAATAATTCTTTGAACACATGTATAAACATTTGGAAGAATTTCAAAAAATGGAAGGTAGACAAAATAATTTGGATAAATTACAAATACGCCTTTTGAGGTTTGCTTAAAGTACAGATTATTCCTGTGATTTAGAAAATTATAAATACTCATTGTTAGAATTTTTTATTTAACATAATTAATTAAAAAAATGAAATTCATAATTGTTCTCCTATACAATAATAAAATTACTTCAACTGTTAATTGAAACATATTTCTATTATCATTAAAAACTGTTAATTGACTTGATGATTTATTAATAAAATAGATGATAGTAGAATGCAATTTCTAGAACCACATGAGACGATTCGTATTTTAATCAAACCTTATAAATGTATTTGTAATTTATCTAAATAATTTTAAAATAATGAAAGTACAAATGATTGATGCAAGAAAGATTTGTACTTTAATTGTTTTGATCTTATTTTTTCTATTTTTCACTTTTTTGATATTCTTCCTAAATATTTTGTTGTTTTTATTATTACAATTTTATTTGGTTACAACAATAAATAAGGATTGGATTGGAAAGTGATTTTTTAATTTTTTTTTATTAAAATATTAGGTGAAAAAATTAACATGTTTAGGAATAATTTTTTTGAATGTTTTTTTTCATCTTAAGATTGATCTGATGATTTATAAACACTATGGTGCACACCCTTCAAAGGGTGTACACTATATGTACCTTATAATTAAAAAAAAATAACATAATTTAAATTTTCTAAGTCATAACTAAAAAAAAAAATTATAACTAAACACAACATTAGACATAATTAAAGAATTCATAGGTTATAACTAAAATAATGTCATAATTAAACAAGAAAATTGGTTATAATTAAAGAAAAAAATGACACAATTAAGAGTGTATATAGTACACTATTTTCGAAGAGGATATATTAAAATTTCCCTATATAAATAAGAATAATGGAGAAAATGACTTTGTTTGTTTTCAGTTTTCAAAATTCACTTTTTAGAAAATTTTACTTTTTCATTTTCCGTATTTGTGAAAAAAAAACCTTTAAAAAAATCACTAAATACCAAAAATATAAAAAGAAAAATGTGAAAATTTAGTACATTTTTTGTATTTTTGTATATTTATTAATTATTAAAAATATTTTACTATTTAGATACATTTAAGTAAGTAACATTTAAAAAAGTAAAAAAAATTACTTAAATTTTTAAAAATATTCATTAAAAATAAAAAAAATTAATTTTCAAAAAATTAAATTTAAAAAATTGAAACCAAACCTATTATTTTATTTTTTTAATACGCTAATATAATCGATCGATATGATAGCTTCTAATAATCGGGCTGAAAGCGGACGCCCAGCACATTTAGCTACCTGCTAACTTCTTGGGCCAAAACTACTCATCAATGAGGCCCAACACCGCCTTAATTCTATATTTTTGGGTCTGGTGTAGTTTTAGAATTATAATTTGAGCGTAAACTTATGATTTAAGTATGGAATTGTGAGATAAGTTTTGAAAAGAATTTTTTTTTATTATGAGTTTTGAAAAGAGTTTTTGAATTTTGAATTTTGAATTTTGAAAAAAGTTTTGAGTTTTAAAAAGAGTTTGAGTTGTATTTTGAGTTTTGAGTTTTGAGTTTTTGCCTTTTGAGTTATATTTTGAAATTTTTTGGATTTATTTTTTTAATATTCAAAAAATTTTAATAAAATTTTATTTTTTATTTTAAATATATAATTTTTATTTAATTTTTTTATTTAAATATTTTATTTTATTTTATAAACATTTTAATTTTTTTAATATTTTAAATTCAAAACACAACCCCATACTCAAATCATAACTAAACACATAACTCAAAACTTAATTCATTTTTTTTTTTTTTTTCAAAACTCATAACAACTCTTTTCAAAATTTTATTAATACAAATTTAAAAAAAATAATTTTTATACTTTCCTTTAAAATTATATTAGATTATATATTTTTTTGAAAAAATATTTTCTTTTCAAAAAATAATTTGTTTATTTTTATTTTTGAAGAAAAATATTCTTTTTTATTTTTTTAGAAAACACTTTTTGTTTTTTTTTTAGGGAGCTTTTTTAATAAATCCATTATTTAAGAGTGTTATTCCACAAGACCTATGTGTTTTATAATATTCTATTAGGTCCATTTCATGCTAAAAGACCAAAAAAACTCTCAAACAAACACGCACCTTCCATTTCTTTGAATCAAATAACTGTCTCTCTTTCTCTCTCTTCTTGTAAGAAATCACGCACAGTATCTCCACCATCCCAAAAATCCAAAGTCGTATTCCATGTCGTCTCAACGCCCAGAAGACTGTTTTTGTTCCATCATCGCATCGTTGCATCGTCTCATCATCTTCTTTGTCATCCCTACGTTGTCGGTCGCCGAAATCGTAGAATCACCATTGTTGAACATCCATAAGGTCTATCTTCGTCAAAATCACCTTCGACAACAATTTGTGACAACGCAACCGTCGAAATGGGCAAAAAACGTAACTAATCTACTTATTCATGTATTTAAACGCTAAATCTCTTTTTCAACAAACAATATTGTGAACTTTCACAAATAACCCCTGTTTCTATTCTTACAATATATAGGAGTCCATATTGTTCATACCCTAACCTTTAATCTGAATCTCCAATCGTAATCTCTAATTATATTGATTTTTTCAATCAAAAACATTACAGTTGCCATTATGTTGTGTTCACAACTGTAAACATTCAAATGGTTTTGAAGAATGTTGGCCAAACCAAATTGTTGTTGTTATTAAAAATTGTGAACATTCACATGGATTGAAAATGTTTGGCCAATCATTATTTTGTAATATTGTAGTTATTTTTTTCCCCTTTTTGTGAATGTTTGCCTTGTTGGTATTGTTGATTGTTAATGGTGATCCAACAACTTGAACCTTCAATTCTTGATTATTTTACATGAAAGTGGCATGAAATACAGTCCCTGCAAATATTGACACTATCATTCCCCCCCCTCTATCAAATTGTTGTTATTAACCGTAATGAACATTTACATTTAAAATTCCTCGTGTTAGATATTGTTGTGATACATAATTATGTTGTGAACATTCATTACATGTGTAAATTAATTAGACACTTTGTGAACATTAACCACTGTGTTTAGAGGAAATATATCACTTTTGTTATCTCATGTTTCAAATTGTATTTCAATTTTGAGGTTGTATTATAAGATTGGCATTGCATGATTGTAATAAGAATATGCATTGCCATACAAATTAGGACTGTCAATGTTCACAACATCCTTTTATATGTTTGTGTTAACATCCACATGTTCTTGAATGTTGTTCATGGTTATATAAATATACATTGATTTTTACACACTCACACAAAATGCACATTGTGTTTGTGCTGACACAGTTAACATCCACATCCATGTACAGATGTGGATATTCACATCCATACACAAAACTGTGGACATTCACACCCATGCACACAACTGTGAACATTCACA